CTATTTAAAAGCAAGAAAGAAAAGTACGTTTTTTCTTCTATAAGCTCTTAGACTCAAAAGTAAATCAAGTTTTTCGTTTTCGCGCGGCAAACGAACGATTTATGAAACTATTTAAGGATTTTTAATCAATGCTTTTCCTGAAGTTTAAATTGACATCTCTTGTCGGCCCCATGTTGATGAGAGAGAGAGAGAGAGAGAGAGAGAAAGAGAGAGAGAGAGAGAGAGAGAGAGAGAGAGAAAGAATATTGTTTTATTTGCTTTAAGGTGCGTTTGTTGTGCTCTCTTCTGCTTATTTTCAGTCACTTCTGGGAAATAAGATTAAAGGTTTAACTTCCTGATAACGTTGCAGATATCGGACGGGTGGATAGCAGTAGTTAAAATGTTTGCTTCACATGCAATATGCATGTCTAGTGAATATGAAATCCTTACAAGTTTTACAAACACATAAAATTTTCTTAGACATTCGACTTTTCATTTGAAGCCTTTATTCCAGCTTTAGTCGTCGTTATAAATATTGTGTATTTGTTTACCAATATGTAATGACATAAACCAATCGCTATTCTCGCTTACGACCGCGCAGAGCAAATAAGTTTTATTTGACTCTTTGTTTAAGAAAAACTGATATCAACACTTTCATGCCATGAAAATAAAATTTTATTTGTTTATGTTAATTACCGCATACTCGTCGTCAACATCATTATCATTATCATCGGCATTATCGCCACATTTACTTTACCAATTTTCATTATATGATTACGTTGATGTTTTGGTGCCGTTTTATCGTTATTATTAATGATTGTTTATATGCGGCTGTCGTGTGTTTAATGAATATGTATGTCTCCTGTTATGTGTATGTGTACATTATTATTGTGCAATTTTGCTGAAGCAGAAAAAAAATAAAAATAAATAAATAAAACAAAATAAGTAAATAGAAAAGTAAAAAAAGAGCACCTATCTAAACAATAAATGCCATTCAATTCTTTTAAATTGAAAATTTTCCAGCATAGTGAATACGAATCCAACCGCACCGAATATCGTATAATAATAAATGAAAACAAACGTATTTTTCGTTTGCCAGCGCAACAATTGTTCTTAGTTTTACACAAATACGATGGAATTGGAAAAGTAATGCATTTTTGCTGGCAACAAAAGCTAAAGGTCACAATGATCAACGAGCCGGTTAATGTGTAAACAGCACAAACACATTCATATATTGATTGAGGTTTTTGAAAAATAAAATCCTGAAATTTATTCTTTTTGCATTTCTAACAAAGAAGAAAAACAAAAACAATCTACGCTTTTCCTAGTTACAACCTACACCATTTATTTATTGTTGTGCGGGTGCATGCAGCATCCAGAAAGACTTGAGAGAGACCCACCTTTTATTTTATCGAATTACTTACTGAATCAAATCTAAACTTATCTGTCCGTCTGTCCATATTATATTTTCATATCCAATCTGTAGATCGGAAAGTTTTAGACATATATATATATATAGACATAAATATATATGGTGTTTTGGATAGAAATTTTTATATATTTTTGTGAAAAATTATTTAAAGTATTTCTTGAAAATCGTCCCCAAAGCATTGCTTAGAAACAGAAGCGAAAATTTAAATATATCTGTTCCAAGACAACCAACGCAACTTTTGGCATTTAAATCGATAGATATGCAACACACACACATACACACATACACACATGCCATCACTTACAGACACTGCAGGCAATGTGCGAGAAAAACACCCAAACGCATTATAATATAATTTGTACAGACGTTCGCGTTACATACAAGAACGAGATAAAATCTCAATTTAACTTTTTAGTCAACTCGACGCATAAGTGTGGGAGTACATGCGTTTTGCATATTATTTTAATAAATTTTCATAAAATTTTAAATATCTACGAAATTTGAAAGACAAAGCGTGAGAATCTTAATGCTATTAACCATAACATGCGTAGTGATTTCATTAAAGCACTTGAAAAACCATTAACGTAAAATATCATGTATAAGAGAAAAAAAAAAAGTATTGTAAAGTGCAAGCAAATTTTAAAATCAAAAGTGTTTTTCTGTTCATATGTTTTCTGTATTTAAAATAAACTTTGACCCTGAATTGTATGCCAGAACTCTTCAAGCAGCTTTTTATATCTTCTATCGGTTAAAACGGACTTTATACGAAAAAAATACAGAGATCGTAGATTTTATTTTTTTTGTCCGTACGTACGGTGTACGTATAAAACAAAAAAACGATTTTAAAACATTGACGGGCAATACATATTTCAATGGCGTTCAAAAATTGACAATCAATTTATTTTAAAATTTCTTATGATATCTAAAATCTGATTCGAAATATTTTCTAAGGGCAGCCATAATATATGCATATATTGTTTTTATTGTACAATCATTACGATATATATGCAATTTTTCAGCCAACTGTTATTAACATAATGATAAACATATAAAAAGTTAAATGAACAAAAATTGGCTTCAACCCTGCTCAGTACTAAAAAGTCCTACAAAATGTCTCCCCAATGAATTTTTTCACGTTTCACCTATTTACCCACAAAAAGTATGCTTCATATTGAAAGCGGCTAAAAATATATTTGTTAATATCGGAGAAAATGTGAAGCTTTTCTTTCGCTTAAAAAATTATTTAGTTTTTAGTACAATTGTACCGAAATTTGAGGAAAGTTTCGAAATCAAAACAATCGACACTTGGGTAGATCCACTTTAATAAATATTATATGATAAACAGGGTAAAAAATTGCAGTAGAGTAATGTTTACATGGAATAATCGTTAACTACGACTGCTACTAAGTCAACCAAGCCTTGTTCAACTAAAACTTGGGGCCGTTTCTAGTTGTCGATACCGATTCAACTCGATCTGATTTGAATATGTTATTCGAATTTTATGGCCGAAACATCACAAGCACAAATCGACGCGACGCGATTATCGTCAGCTATCTACTTCATTCTATACCATATTGTTGGACAAAGAAATTACTGGATGCATCATGTTTTCCTAAAGCGATCAATCTGAAAGTCATCATAGAATGATTCCGATTTGCCCATGTGCCACCGGATAACCGTGCGTTTATTACTTTGTTCGTTCATTGGTCTTGGGGCCATTACCGACAATGCATTATAAAAGATTCTTATTGACAATTCAATCAGGATACTGGAGACTTGGTCTTAATATTATTCCAATTCCCTTATGTTCTTAAAAACGAACAAAGAACTGTAACTTACCGCCCGCAAGCGATAGCGAAAGGCTGCGCAGAGCTAACTATCCAAAAGTTGGTTATAAAAACCGCCCCTATCGATTAACTCATATTTTATTTATAATTACTATTACTTTTTTTACCTTTAAAATCGGATATAGATGAGTTATTAATTATCTGTGGAACTTTTCTTTTGGAAATCAATTGGTAGTTGGTATTGCCTTTGAAATTTTGAACGGATTATTTTTAAATTTCCCTAAACGAGGTATTTTGACAACAAGTCTAGATATGCGATCAAGGCGCGCATAGATACTCTTGCCGGGTGAGAAATGAATTTTGAAAAATGCAAAGCCACTAAAAAAGCAATATGATGGTCTCTCGTTACCATTTGTAGCGTCGTAAAGCTTAATGATTATAAATAGAATGATAAATTTAATATACTTTTGCTTTAAGTAGAAACAAATCCTTTGATTTAGTTTAAATTTGCCTAAGCAAGAGCTTCAAACGTATTTGTTTGAAAACAAAACAAGACAAAAGACCGAAAATTTCATTTTATAAAAATCAATTTTTATGAAAGTTTCCCGGAATGATTCAAAGGAAAAAAAAAAAAAAAAACAAAAAAAAATATTGACAGACCGTAAAATACTTCAAAAAACAATATAATAAAATTTTCAAACAAGTTTTAACGAACGGCGAAAAAATATTCAAGGTCAACGTTAGGAATGCAAATAAAAAACGTGCTTTTAATTTTTTTCTTTTTTTTTTTTTCTAAATTTCTACTGGGAACCCAAAAAAACAAAGGAAAGTTTTTAGTGTGAGATAAGCGAAATAAAAACATAAACAAAAATTTAAACAAAAGCAAATATTTGTCTTTAAAAAGCTTTTACTAGTAAAGTGAATTATTTTAAACAAAGTTAATAATAATAGTAAAGAAGAAAAGCAACAACAATAATAACAACAGCAACAACATGTCAGTAATATTATTATTATATTAGAATTTACGATGTGGAAAGAAAGCCACAAAAATGCTATGAAGAACCACGTGCGGTGAATACTTTTTGTTTTTTTTTTTTATTTTTTTTTGATTCGAACTGCACGCATATTAAAAATCGGGCGGGTTTCGGAAGATGAACGGCAAAACAAATAAATGTAAAGGAAAAATTGTCATAAATTCATTATGACGCGAGAGAACCTAATGTAAATGTCAATTTAACTGTCATACAATGCTGGCTTTTAATCAATGACAAGTGAAGTCACTCATCTGACTGATAAATGCAATAAATTATGAAACATTAGGGCCACACTGCAAGTATGTGGGTGTGTATGTATGCACATTTATCGACAAGAAATATAGAATTATATATATATATAGAGATATATAAGTATATGTATATGCCATGATAATCTAAGGTTTCGTAGCAAATTTTAGCCAACGTTGTCAGTTTTGCAAACATTTACACAACAGTTTGTTGAAATTTTGTAGGTAGACCTTTATAAAATTGAATTATTGCTCTTGTTATTTTATAGATTATGTGGTGGTGACGTATTCTCCTATTGTGTGTGTATATGCTATTAGGCATTAAAACCACTACAACGCTATACTATAGAGGCCTTTGTGGTTTCTTTCGTTCCTATCAGTTCTTGGTTAAATAAAAATTAATTGTTTCGATAAATATTTTATTGGCATCAAAAATTCTAACGTAACTTTCCTCATCAATAATGACAAGTCATTGTGGCGTTTTTCGCTACAATACTAAAAATAACTGCACTTGACTTACCGTTTATTGATAGTGCCCTGGAATAAGCGTTTATTTGTTTGTTGCTGCTGCACTTTTGTTTTATTATCGTTGCCTTCGGCTAATTTGTTGACTTTTACATTAACATCTTTTGTATTGATTTTATTTGTTGCTTTACGGTTAGCATTTGGACTTAGATGCCTATTGACATTCCCTAAACTGGTGGGTGAGCGACGCACGGTGGGTGAACTTTGAGCTGGTGATGTGTAACCCGCCTCAGCACCCATATTAAGACGTGTGGACACTTTCGATTTCACGTTACTGTAATTCGTTTTCATGATAGCTTTATTATTCGCGATTTGATTCATAACGGCCTCCCATTTATTGGATGAGTGATGTTTACGCACCACAGGTGGTGAATTGATTTTTCCGGTGTTATTGTTTGCACTAATGTAAGGTGCACGATTTTTAACGCTTTTCGTTACGGTTTTTGTACGCGGCGAATGTTGTTTACCCGATAACGTGTTACTATTGCTTTTGCCCGAATTTTGAGTTTCATTTAAGGAGCTCTTCGAACCCGCACCAGAAGCTCCTGATCTTAACGAACCCGTTTCGGATTGTCCAACCGAATTTACGTTTACATATATCGGTGTTATTGCATTTTCTATTGTTGTTGCTGTTATTGCTTTAGTTGTCGCTGTTGTCGACGACGGTTTAGCACCAGACACGCCGTTTTCTGTGTATAGCGACGATAACGAAGCATGTTTACGCGGCGAAGTTACTCTTTGCACTGCCGGCAAGTTTTTATGCATTGTTTGCTCACACCACGAAGTTGTGGATGTTGTAGAGCTTTTGCTTAATTTCGTATGCAAGTGTTTTACGTTTACCTCATTTTCATTATCGTTTTCTGCATTGAAAGCTTCGTCGAGTGAAGAGAAACTCTTGAAATCTACATTACAACCACTACCATCCACACTACAATACGAAGTACGATTGGAGAGAGTTGCTGCAGAAAGACGATCCGTGCTCATGCTGCTCTGTATTGTCGATGATGTTTGACTGCCGCCACTTAAATGGCCTTGACAATGGCCAGTTGATGTAGCGTGAGCACTACAGACAATAGTTGTTGCACGATCGCTTTCCTGTGACAAACGACAAGATCGCTTAATGTTTTCTCGATTACTTCGAACTGTTTCCGTTGAGTCATCACCACCATCGCCGTCTGCATCAGGTGACAGATCCAAATTATCAGAAATTTGAGGCTCCTGACGTCTCATTTGCGTCAAGTCCTCGTCACAACGATTTTCTACATCAGTAAATATCCCAGACGATTCCATACATGAATCTTCCATCTGCGGATCTTCTGAAATAAAAACTGAAGTTGCCGGCTGCAGCATAGGTCCATACAGTTGGCCATCTATTACTTGAGCTCGTCTGTCTCCCCGATTAAAAATATCATCGGCATCAGATTCGGTAAAGAAATCTGAATCGGTCATAGGATCCTGACGTCTAACAGGTGGAAGATGTCCTAGTTGCTGCTGATTGAAACTGGGTTGACGAGAAACTCCTTTGCGTACAGGTCCGTTAGAAGGCGAATGATCGCAGGCTCCACGAGATGCAGGACGAGACATTTCACCGTCGCCTTGATATCCAGTATCCAAGCTGGTAACACTAGTCACGCTTGTTATAAAGCTGGTTGAAATTTTTGATACTCCGGATTTGGTCATAGGATCCGTTTTCGAAGGTTCTGTATCGGTGTGTAGAGATATCGATTCAGTACAAATTGAATTTGATTGCGTTTCTTGTTGCTGTTGCTGTTGACCTGAATTATAAGCATCTCGATTTAATTGCTGCTGATGCTGCAGTCGCTGTTGTTGTATTAATATCATATCAATATCGGTTTTCACCTCAACCGGATCCAATGGTAAATCTTCCGGCGATGGAGTTTGATCAATACGCATCTGATGCAAGGCCAACTTGTTTGCGTTATGACATGAATTGAACACCATAGGTAAATCCAAATTATTCGTATTCGTATTAGCTGCAGAGGAATCAAGAAATTCTTTCATTTGATCGGGTGTCAATATTCCTAAACTTTCATCCATGTCAAAGGAATTTTGCCTCCGTAACATTTGTGAATCTTGATGCAAATATTGCGATGAATTAGAGTGAGTTAAATTGTTATGAGGTCCCAAGTTAGCGTTGCCCGGTTGCGAGAGCACTGTGGACGATAATGAAACATCTACCAATTCAATAGAACAATCAAGCGTTGACTCAGTTAAATCCAAACCAAACGAGAAGCGGCTTTTCGGCTTTTCATTTGTATTGCTAACATCCTGTAATGACGAGGCCGACTCTTTTGCCTGATTTTGAGCTAAAAACTCTTCGGTTCGATGGCCAATTGCTATCAATGTGCTGTCGACATCCATGGGTTCTTGATCAATATCCTCATCCGGCGTACAGACAGGCAGAGCTAAATCACTTTGGGCAGCTTTAAGCAGCAAAGGGGGGTGCATACGACCTGACTGATAATCTTTGCTGACAACTTGACCAAACTTTTTCCCATTGCGATCAGGCGTTGTGGTAGCTGATGCTGAAACTTGACTCATATAAAGTAATTTACTATTATTGTTTTGTCGAGCAGAATACGGCGACTCTATACACTCATTATTTGCTCGACTCAATGACTGTATAGGTTTAGGTGGTGAATAAACTTGTGAAATATCCAACAGTCGTTCTGTATTTCTAGTAGAGTTCAAAGGGAGTTTCATGTTTGCTTTTTCAGACGCTGTAGGAATTAACGTAACATCGGCATCACCGTCTGAAACCATCTCCACCAAAGTATCTTCTTCAAATCCCGGTGGTACCGAAACATCTTCTAACATCACATTTTCGGTGGAACCAGGATTTGAGAATGTAGCATTTGTTGCAGGCGATATCAGTTCATTTGACTCCATTTTCTTAACATTAGCATCTGAATAGAATGGACTCTTTAGAATCTGCGTAAGATCCCCGCGATTAGACTTGTTCTCTTTAGGCGAAATGAAACATAGAGTCCGATCCATAATCTGAGTGCTGTTAATAATATGAGTAATATTAACATTATCCGCTTTCATATCCACCGGTTGCTCGTCTATTACATTGCTTTGAGTTGATTCTGCGTCGGCTTTATAGCCACATTCATTATGTAATTGCCGTTGGTTTTCTAAATTTTGATTTTCTGCTATGTTTGAAACTCTATTGGTTACATAGGTAAAATCTAGACTTTGCATAGTAGACAAACCCTCCTCGCTCTTAGTAATCACAGTGGTTGTGTCTAATGAACGGGTATTCTCGCATAACTGCTGCGATTTTTTTGCTACCTTACCTGTGACTGGTAATGGGGTTGATTGTACCAAAATATCAGCCTTTGCTGCACTAAAAATATCGAGCTTAGTATTACTGCATGTAAAAGTATCGGACCTTGTTAAGGTGTTAGGTACTTGATCGTTGGTTTGTTTAGAGTTAAATAAACGTTTCCCAGGTGCTTTTGGTATTTGTGTAGAAATTTTTTCCGGTTTCGAAAGAAACTTTTTTAACACAGTAGTCGTCTTCCTTCCCATTATATTAACGTTACTGATACGATCACCGGATGAGCATTTTCGAACTCCCAAACTTGATGGTTGCGAAGAAGATCTTAAAGTCGAATAGGTAGGTGGCCGGGATTTAACCAACGATACAGATGGTCGTAAGATCTGCGACGTCTTGACTGACGCAGAAACTGAGACCGGACAGCGCGTAGTACCAGCCAGAGGAATACGCGATAAACCAGTCGTAAGCAAACGAGCATTGGTTGTCGTTTCCTGCGATGGAATATAATTTAACAAAAAAAAAAATTATTAATAAAAAGTAATGCGCTAAAGGAGCTCATTAACATTAACAAAAGAAGAAAAAATTCATTATTAGAAATTCGCTATTAAAAGCACCAGAAACATCAATAATATTATATATTTTTCAAAAGGATCATTCCATTTAATATCTCGGGTTCATTTATACTTACAATACTTTGTTCTCTAATGCAAACGCGTTGACCTTGAATTTTGCTCTTTTAACAAATCGTAAAAGAACATGAAATTTTAATCAAAAGCTACCTACGCGTTAATCCAAATCCTTTTTATGTGAACACAGATTTCAAACATATTACTAAATAATAAAGATTGCATTGCATGGATTCACATTTTGATTTTCATAATCAATTTTCATTTTGTTCTTTTTTTTTTTCGAAGGTTTTTTCCTTCTCTTACTAAAAAATGAGACGTGACTTTAGGATTTGTGCAGTCTTGTCTTTTCTGAACACCGTAAATATGAATCGAAATCTTTACTCGTTCGTACTGACATCAACCCAAAAAGGCAAGAAGGACACAATAGTTAGTACAACTTTGATGTACACATCTGCATACATTTTGTTGTTTACATAATCCTTTTACTACATCGACTTTTACTGGTGTGTAAACACAGGTGTAAGTAGATATGAAAACACATGACTGATAACATATATATGAGATAGATTGCTTTTACTGAACAACACACAACGCAACTATTTTGTCGTATTTACTTTACATTCAGGAAATATCGATTTACTTTTCAATTTCTACCAAAGAGTGCAACGAATGGCATTTGAGCCTTTGAGGCTTTTCCAAGCTTTTTTCTATAAACGAAATTTTAGCCAAATGTACAATGACACCCGAAGCCTTTTTAATGAAATCAATGTTCTCGAAAGCATAAATTTTTGGCATGTTAAAGTCATGAACTTGATTTAAATACATTTCAACATTTTTTATGAAATTTATAAAACACACATTACTTTATGGGTATAGATGGATGTTTAGAATAAACATTTTTAAATATTTTTATATAATTCCTTTAAACATTTCATCGATTTCT